CTGACCCACAACACGGAACCACCGGACCTGAACTTCCGTTTCCTCCAGAACCCGGACAAAACAAAGAGCAGGACACAAACAAAGCAGAAGAAGAAACTTTGTCCTTTAACTTACTTTTCTTTCTTCCTCTGTGTTGTTAACCTGCCGACAGGTGAGCGGACGGGGTGCCTCCTCCTTTCTCTTCCGCCTCACCTGATGGCCGGAAGCTGCGTAATGCTCACGGTTACGTCAACGCAACGGACGCACCTGCACAGGTGGATTCTGTCCTTAAAGAGACAGACAGCTGTGCGTGTTCACGTTCTTACGTTACGCATCTACGTCACGTGACATAAGCACCTGTTTGCCCTGCGCTTTGTCTCTCAGGCTCAGCGAGTTTGAACTTCCTTTGGTTTATGGATATTTGGTGGAAATCAAAATAATCAGAGGTGGAGAAACTAAATATTTCAATTTGTTTTCACTGTGAAAGAAAACAAGACATCACTGAGGAAGGATAAACTAATATTTGGTTCAATCTGGAGTGTCAAACTTATTTTTAATAAAAAATTTACTCAAATACATGTAACCAGAGTCAGTTTTTTAAATACTGATTTCTTTGTAATAATTCTTTTCATTAATAATTGCATGTACATTAAAATAAGAAATGTACGTTTATTACTAGTATAAAAATGATGTGTAATACTATAACTGCTACTACTAGTCCCAATAATAATAATAATAATAACAATAATAATAGGAATCCAACTACAGTCAAAAAATTTTATACAAATTACAGACTGTTATTTGTATAGAAATAAACACCAATATGAAATTAATTTCAGTAAAGAATTCACTCAAATTTCCTGAAACACTTTTAGTAAATCATAACACAAATCTAAATATGAACAAATATTTTCTTTTATTTTTATAAAGCGATCACTTTAACAACAACACCTTTTATCTGAACTTTGTTTTTATCTGCATTCATTTCAAAATTTACTTGGAAATTTCTTTAAAATTCTTTAAAATTCCTAAATTCCACCCAAAACTTTTTTTCCTAGCCTTTTTAGGATAAAATCATCATTTCAGCTTTAATCAGGGTGGAAACTAATCTTCTGATCCAAATCTTTAAAATAACTTATGGTATTTGAAGAATTTATACGTTTCGTCTTTGAACCAGGGACATTTTACTGAGTCGATGAATATTTTGCTTCTTCGATGCTCAACATGGATTTAAAATCCTAAATATCTGCATTCTGTTGTTCGGCCACCAGATGTCCTCAGTGAGGCGGGGCGAGAAAATGCAACATGTTTTCATTTGGATTCAGAAACAAATCAAACCTTTTGTTAGTTTGTTCTTTAAAAACCAGCTGATGAACGAGATTTGTAATATTTCATGAGACATTTTTTCAATCTGAGAATAAATTAAAAGCTCTCTGCGTTTTTTCCAAACATCTCCTCGTGTTTTTAAGGTTTTCCACGACTCTCCTCTTTAAATAGCCTGCAGGATAAACAGCAGACTGACTGCAGCCATCAGTTTCCCAGCGTCAGGCCACCCAAACTCCCGGACACGACCAGAACCAGAACCAGAACCCCTCACTAATGGATCTCCTGGAGTCTGTTGTTTAATAACATCCTCTCTAGCCTCATTGTTCATCCTCCAGAACTGGGCCGACCCGGTTCCCTAACCAGAACCCAATCAGAACCAGCTTTTCTAAGTAAATAATTCCTCCATACTGATGGAAAAGTCTGGCCTTTACCGGCAGATTATTGATCTTATGTGGAAATTATTTAATTATAAATGATAACTTGTTTTTCTGTATTTCTGGTTTAGTTTCTCTCATCATATTTTAGTTTTATTTTGTTATTTTGTTGCCCTGGTTTTCTATTCCTGAGCATTTTAAAGCTTTATGGCTGTTTTGCATGTGATGTTTGTCATTATAAGCCTGTTTTTCCTCTTTAATCAAATTTTCTGTTTGACTTGATTTAATTGGCATGAAATGAGATTTTCAGCTCATTTCAGGGTTGCGATGCCTCAAAGCCACTTTATTTGGTTAAATCTCATTTAAGTCTATCATATATTTAAGGTTGCATTTTCAGATTTAAATCAACTTTTATATCTCATATTGGGTATTTCATCCCCAAAACAAACAAAAAATCATTTTCTGTGAGAAACCGGTGAGGGAAACAGCCTGCGGTGTGTGTGCGAACAAACCAATTAGTGACAGACTGTTAACGAACACGTCTCACCTGAGCAGAAACCCCACCTGGCCACGCCCACAGCCGTCAATCACGGCCCGCTCCCAGGTACGGAGCTGCAGCAGTGTGTGTGTGTGTGTGTGTGTGTGTGTGTGTGTGTGTGTGTGTGTGTGTGTGTGTGTGTGTGTGTGTGTGTTTTCGTGCCTAAATTAAGCGCAGGAATGTGTTTATTTAAAGAAGCTGCTGTGAAAGTGTGAGTTGGTGTCGAGACGGTGGCCCCACCGGCTCAGGTTCAGGAATAATTCATCCCAGGTTAGTCATTCATCACCTGCTGTTTGTCACCTGGTTTTGTTTCATGTAACTTGACCCGCTGACCCCGCTGACCTCCCGCTCGCCGCTCGCTGTCAGGACGCAGATATGAATCTGCAGCAGCGTCTTCCAGCTGTTTTCCTCCAGAACCAGCTGAGCTAGAAATAGAAGACCTGCTGCTGCCGCCGGGTCAGTCGGGTTCTGGTTCTGATCTCCATCCGGAACCAGAACCAGCATTCAGCTTCCACAAATCTGGAACCAACGTCCAGAAAACTGCAAAAGAGACGAAACACTGAGATCATTAAAACTCAGCTGGTTGGAGTGGAAACGTTGACAGTTTGGTAGAAACTTCTGACTTTTACTTGAATAATTTTATTTTCAAATATTTTTTCTCTTACTTGAGAAAAACTTCTGTTTTCTGCTCACTGAATGAAAATCAAACATGTTTTAACAAACTTTTTATTAAAATAAATTAATTTGGAAACATTTTAATTCTTCTAGTTTTACTTGAGGACAAACATGTTGAAGTTGAGCTGCTCCAACTTTAGTATAATCTTTGAGTTTTCTACTCGCCTCTGATTATTGATTATTGGAAAAATAAAGTCTGTTACTGATTTTCACAACTGTTCACTAAATGATGTTTATGATTTATTTTGTTTTCATGTTGCAAAACATTTGAACTGCAGCATTGCTGAAATGTGAAACACAAATAAACTGATTGATTGATTGATTGATTGATTGATTGATTGATTGATTGATATGTGATGATGTTTGTAAAGATAAAGATTAAAGAATTAGCTGCAAATATTTCAGCTTATTTTGCCTGTCAAATAGAAAAATAAGTGGTTGTTCATTTTTCAGTCATATTTTCTCCGTTATTCATAAATTTATAAACATTAAAGTTCTAAATATTTAATTCACAAACTAAACATTTCCCAGTTTGTCAATAAATATGTTCAAACTAATAAATATCAGTTTTTAAATGAGTTTTGCCTTGTTGTAAGTGTACAATAAGACACTAAATGTTTAGTTTGCAAAAAAAAAACCAAACATTTATTTCTCAAAGTAAATATTTAGTTAGGAATATTTAACTTGTTAATTAAACATTTAGGTGTGAATTAAATATTTAGTTTGGAACTCTGAAATTTATAAATGTAGGAAGAACTTGGTAAAAATATGACTGGAAAATATTCATCCAGGTTTCTACAAGAGACTGCATTCAGGCTGAGCTCTGGACTTTGACTAGACCACCTTTTCAGTAGTTAATATTTAACTGAGTTCATTTCTGGAATGAATCACATTTCATCTAAAACTTCATCAGCAAACTCAGGTCATAGCAGAGCTGCAGCAAACATGACGTCCATGTTTGTTTTTCTGGGAGCAAAGAAAGAAAAGAACAGCAGCAGAACATCTGGATCAGACCAAACACTGGCGGACATCATGGAGACGGCAGAGGAGGTCCGGCAGGACGGGTCCAAAACTGTCATCACTGCTGGCAAGAGCTGCAGCAGAGCTACTGCAACCGCACACACACACACACACACACACACACACACACACACACACACACACCTGTAATAGTTTCCCTAATTACTGTAAAATGACGGCGCAGTCGCTGCAGGAACAGACAGTCACACTGATCTTTACCTTGTCAAAGGAGCCATTATCAGTCCAGGTGTGATCTGTTACCTAACAGCTTCCAGAACCTGCAGATGCCGACATGTTCAGAGGATGGAGGTCGAGACTTTCCCAGTGCTGGCATGTGAGGAGGGTAAAGGTTCATCCTGAGAGGAAATATTCACTTTACCCTGAAACTGTCCAGGAGCCAAAGTCAACAAACATGTAATGTGGTTCACCCTGTCAGAGACAAACAGTGGCGGCGCAGCGCTCTGCCTCGCCCTGAGGCTGCGGCGCAGCGCGGTGCGGCGCGGTGCGGCACGGCGCCCAGGAACGCAGAGCGCCAAAAACCTGAGCACAGGCGCATTTCAAAAATGTAGTCAAAATGAAGAGAAAATACCATTTAAACTGGGATAAAACCATCAAACATCTGATAACTGAGAGACAATAAAACAACCCAAAGCTGCAGCTGCTTCAATCAGTATAGAGGAAAAGGTAACAAAAGGTCATAAGGTCACAACATCCTAACAAATCTGATGTAAAACAGACATGAAGACCAACAATAAATGATGGTCAAAATGCCTCAATGATTCAAAATCAATTATCAGCTCAACCGAACTGGAAGAATCAGATTCCAGCAGCCAGATGATGAGTCAGCGCGTCTCTCCCAGTGCGTCTCTCCCAGCGCGTCTCTCCCAGTGCGTCTCTCCCAGCGCGTCTCTCCCAGTGCGTCTCTCCCAGCGCGTCTCTCCCAGTGCGTCTGACTTAATTAGAGTGGAAGGAATGAGTTTGACGCCAAGCAGGGAGATCCTGCAGAACGTGACGCCAGCAGCAGGACGTCATCATGACGAGGCATCACATCACATCAGATCCCGCCGGTTAAAGATCCTCAGCAAACATGTATCAAATGTGTCTTTATTCCTCTTTCATTATGTACATATTGCACAGAGGGAGGCAGTTTGAACAATATAAATATACTGGAAAAGCTTTACTTTGATCAGCTGGTGACCTCTGAACCCTCGTGGTCCATCGTCCAAAACAAGTCAAACTGATCAAATGTCCCAGGTTTGTTTCCAGAGCAGACAGTCCATCAGAAACCAGTAAAGCCACTGGCAGCAGAGAGGAGATCAACTGGAACCAACATTTCATGAGCTGGAAGATTCAGAGAGTCTGTGGGAACCAGTTCATCTGAACCAGTTCATCTGAACCGGTTCATCTGAACCAGTTCATCTGAACCAGTTCATCTGAACGGTGGAGACTGTTCTTTGCTGCTGCATATGAACGGTTTGACCTTTGACATCAAGTTTCTCTTGGCTTCCAGATGTCACCAGCTGGTCATCAGAGGGAGGCAACATGGCGGACGGCGTCCACTTCCTGTCCACCGGCTGCAGAGCAGAGACAGAATGAAGATGTTGGACAAAAAACTGAAATTTTAACATTCATTTCCAAAATTTTCTGGAAAAAAATATGATTTTTTGAGACGTTTAATGTTGTTGTGAATCCAAACTTTGGAAACTACAAATGTCGAATCAACCTTATACACTGACTTATCTAATTATTAATAATTGTAATAAATAATTGATTATTAAATCATTTAAGAAACTGTTTCCTTTCATTCCAGTATTCATGTCTATCATGAAGGAGTGAATCAGATGAAACAGTGAATGATCATTTTTTATAAAATAGAACAAAATTAACACTGAATAATTCTGTGAATTTCTTCTTTCTCTTACGAGTGGAATGCAAAACTTTAGGAATATTTACTGAATAATAAAATGGGAATCAAATCAGATGAAGGAACTGTGACAGAATGAAAATGAACGAATGAAATCAGCCAAAACTGCAGAGAAACGCAGGAGGATCAGAGCTGAAGGAGCCGATTTCAGGAAAACGTTGGATCTGATCCGAAAATGTAACCAGGAGCTTCAGCTGAACTCAACCAGACACAGAAAGGAGGTTCTGGTCCAGATCCAGGGCAAAAGGAAACAGAGGCAGGTGAGAGGGAGCAGCAGGCATGATGGGAAACGCAGTTCATATCGTCTGCTGGTGAAATTGGAAAATGTTCAACTTTTGAAACTTAGAATATTTCTTAGATTTCTTTATATTCCTGAGTTTTTTCTTTTGAAGCTCAGAAAGTTGCAAGATTTTTCTTTGGTTGGAGTTTTTTAGTGGAAACTACTGAGTAATGAACTTTTCTTCTCTTTCTATCTACATTGGGGAGAATAAGTGTCTGTAAATGTCCTGCTTTATTTCAACAAACATGGTGATGAATGAAGGAGGAAGTTTGAACTTTGCTATTTTTCTCTCTGTTCATATTTTGTCACTTGCTGGTTTTAAGTTTATTCTTTCCAGGAAGAACAAAGTAAAGTGAATTTATTTCTCTTTCTTTGCTGCTCATTAACTTGATGCTGGAATCGTTTGGTTTGGTGGATGAACTGAATGTTGTTGCTCTCTGCAGGTTTGTAAAGTCATTTTGTGGCTGATTTCCAGCCTTTATTCTCTCAGGCGCTTATTGCACTCTTCACAAAGTCTCCATTGTGCAGATGGTCTTGTGGTCTGGCTGCAGACATGTCAGATAAATATTCTAGTCCCGTGTTTGACTTCATGTTTGCTTGACCAGAAACCAAACTTTATGCGTGAACTAAAAGCTTTCAGGAAAACACAAACGCGTTCTGAGCCCTAAATCTCCTGACATTATTGCTCAGGATTAACTGAATTTCTCATTTATCCGTCGGACTGATGCAGCACCTGACGTAATCTGCAGCATGATTGGAGTCAGGAGGATTGTGGGTGCTTGTTGGTGTACAGCTTACCGTCTCGCGGTCTGTTTATCTCTCGGAACAGCGAGGGCTCTTGGCCAGTTGAGTCAGCAGACGAGCACATCTTTTATAAACTGCAGCAGAAGGAAACAACAAATGTGTTCATGAGGCTGAAGAGGAGATGCTAAAAGGAGACACGACCTGCAGCATCACGAGGTTTACCTAGCCTGGCCGCCGGCGCAGTGGAGCAGCGGCGCAGCGGTGCAGAGGTTTTTAGGATTAAAAACCTAAATAAGACTAAACTAACTCACAAATAACTTTTCAGAAAGAAATGAGTTTATTTCAGAATCAATTATATCTTTATATTGATGGATAATTTCTAGTTTTTCCAGTGTAATTTGAAAATGGCCTCAAAACTCAATATCATTTATCATAATAACTTCTGGGACAATTAATCGTCCAGCAAAATGTGTAACCAAAACAAAACTAGTTCAGGTTATGAAAAAAAAACTAAAATACAAAAACAGACTGAAAAAAACTGTTTTCTAAAACTGCTCAGTAAAAACGATGTAAAATATATTTTGAAGTGTTTTCTTTGTCATCAGATGTGTGTAAATCACGTCGTTCTGTCAGGTCGGCTCTGTTAGCTTCATGCAACATTAAGTTTCATCTGTTGATGCACAAAGACACCAGCAGCTTGTGGTTAAAAAAACTCGACTTAAGTAAACAATTCCCACTAGAGACTCTGACAGGCATCAGCCAATAACCTGCCAGGGTTATGTAAACAACCACTGGACAAGTTTGAACCTTCCCAGCTCCTGTAACTTTCACCTCTAAGAGCAGAAACGGTGCTGCTCACACACACACACATCCCCTCACACACACACACCCTCACACACAC